CACGGTCCCAGACAAGAGCCGCGAGCACACCAAGAGCACGCGATACTCCAAACAGGACGGTATAATAATTCATCTCTTTCATTCCATAATATTGCAACAAAACTCCTGAATGAGCATCTACATTCGGCCATGGGTTCTTTACCTTACCGGTTTCCAAAAGGATGGGAGGAACTATCTTGTATACTTGAGCAACGAGCTGAAAATAAACAAGTATTGTCATTGATTAAAACAAAATTACTAATGAAACAAAATATATTTTCAAATAGAACGTTCAAAAATTTTACCTTGAATAATTTGTCATCCGGTAAATGTTTCAAAGCGAACTCTCTCTGGCATGTATATCTAGGGTCAGTCTTTCTGAGTACAGCATGACCGTATCCAGGAACGACTTGACCGCTTTTGAGCGTGTTCCAGATGAAGTCCTTGAGCTTATCATCACTGGGGCTATCTCCAACCTGAGAGCGCAGCTTTTCTAGCCATACCAGCACCTCTTGATTAGCAAGACCATGGAGAGGTCCAGCCAAACCGTTCATACCAGCAGCAAAGGAGAGATAAGGATCAGACAATGCTGAACCCACCAAGTGAGTGGTGTGTGCAGACACATTTCCACCTTCGTGGTCAGAGTGTATCGTTAGGTACAAGCGCATAAGTTCGATGAATTGTGGATTATCGTAACCAAGCATGTTCGCAAAATTCCAAGACCAATCTTTGCTTGCATCTACGGAACCTAAGCCTTTGCCATCTTTGTAAAGGTTTCTGTATATCGTGGCAGCCACTACAGGCAATTTAGCGATTAAATTCATCGAATCTTCAAAAACAGTTTCCCAATATTTGGTTTTGTGAACACCTTTCGTGTAAGCCTTCACGAATTCACTCTCGCTGTTCAAGAGAGTGATGGCGGCAGAGAATTGGGTCATGGGATGAAGTGACTTGGGGAAACTGTTCAAAACTTTGAGTACGTGATCGGGTAGTACGCTTCGTGAAGCCCATTCCTGCGACAGTGCTTTCGTTTGGGCATCGGAGGGAACGTCGCCGGTAATCAGGAGCCAGAATAGACCTTCCGGAAGTGGTTCCACGCCCTTTGGAGCCTTCGGCAGGAGTTTTTGGCACTCGGGAATTGATTTTCCACGGAATCTAATACCTTCTTCAGGGTCCAGGACTGATGGTTCCCATACCAATCCTTTAATTCCACGCATGCCACCGTACATCTGAAAAGTAACAAAAAGGTCAGGTTACGATGTAAAAGTCAAGTATAAAAAAAAAGTGGAAAAAAAAGTGGAAAAAAAAGTGGAAAAAAAAAGGAAGAGGGTTCATTGACATTGATGTGTGACGTAACTACGGAGAAAAACGAACTTTGAACTCGTTTAGTTATTGCTTTAAAGCTTATCAAAATTTCTATCTTTCGTACAATATGAAACGTACAAAAAAATTTTCCACATTTCAATAATACATGCGAATACGTTGTAGTTTATACAAGTTCATTTAGGTTTGAACACAAAAAATTTTGTCACCCCCAGGAAATCGTTCAAATTAACGATACCCCCGGGTGATAAAGTTTATCGGGTAGTGATATTGAAATTTCTAATTTCTGCTTTACGATTACTCGCCAGGTCAGGATTTTTCCGACAACCTAAGATACACATGATAAGCACGCGGTGTACGCTCATTTCGCAGTACGTATCATCCGTCTCCGGCACTCTTATCGGCAGGACAAAAAATATGCCGTTGTACTACGAGCATGTGTCTTCTACATAACAGTGTCATCTTCTTCCACGTGCCGTAACATGTTAATACGCAATCTTTTCTGGATAATTATCACTTTTGCAACACATATATCTCACTTTTCTATGTTTGATAAGTTTATTCGCCTTTAAAGTTTTCAAATGGAAAAACGCATGTGTGAACAGGAATTGCATAACGATCCAACGCATACCATGTCCACGGTGACATCTCCAACTTTGGTGGCCCCATGTTGCTTACGGAAGGCTTTAATACGCTCCTGTTCTTTTGGGATCTTGTCAGCTAGTACTTTTTTCAGATCGGTAGAGGCATCGCTTAACGATCTTGCGAATAAGGTCGAACTTAGTTTCTGGAAAAGAAAAAAGTTTCATTTATAATTATCTCTCGAAATAATGGAATTCTACTAATTTCTGATATTTACATATCGTAAAAAATATTTCATTCATCGTTGATGTACATTTCCATAAAAATTAATTATGAGTTAAGAAACGTTAACAAAGAAAGTGTTAGGTTTCATGCTTCGGTAAGCATGAACGATGTGTAAATGAAATTAGCAAGACAGTTTCTCTTCCTACGTATTTCTGCTGCTAATAGCGTAATAATAGTAATAATAGTAATAATAATAATGATAATATGTATTGTACACAAAAACACGTACGAAGCACGTTGAAGGTAAACGAATAGTATTAAAAAAAAGCTTATGTAAATTGAAATGTAAAAGATAAGATACATCTAACCTTGACAATCAAATATATTTGATGAATTTTAATACGTAAATATTTTTTTGAACTTCATAAAACATTTTTTCTCACTCAATTCACTAAATGCAATTAAATTCTCATTACGGACAGAACTCACGATACCAATGACACCAGTTTTAATGAACAATAGTGAATAACTGGTGGATTACGTAAAACGAATAAATTTTCTTGATAAAACATGCACGTGGTACATCAACTTCACAACGGATGCCGCGGACGCTTTGTAACCTAGAAATTGACATTGTCTGATGGAAAAATTTCATTCATTGTCAGACACGTAAATCCAATCCGAATTTTCTAGTTTCTTCCACCAACAATTTCGCAGTCGAGTTGAAAAACGAAGAATAACTTTCTATATCAAATTAATATAAATATTAACTTTTTAATCAAAATATTACAGTAATATTACGAAAAACGTATGTACGTGAAGGATATTATTGAATATACATTTTTGTATTTATCAGCGTTAGATATCGCAAATGAGTCGTGTTCAGGGATCAAGACCAAATTACCTCTATTAATTAATCCTTATTGATATTAATGATAATCTTCTATTATTATACCTTGAATAAACGTACCTTACTTACATACAAACATAGACTTCCGCTTACGTATGTGTTGTAAAGAGACTCACTTACGATATCGAACGTTCGTAAATACCAAAGTAGATTTTATATCGAGACTATTAATTTCAGTACCTACATGTACATTGATTAAGCATTTTTTACTCCTTTCGGTGAATATTTAATAAGCCTCTAATGTTTCAGACACATTTTTCTCAACATACTATATACTGCTTAACGATCGTTATTTCCGTCCTACGCTATGTTTTTATCAGAAAGAATCGACGATTACGAAATTTCTAATAAATCGTTAGACTCGTCTTGGGGTCACAGGGTCTCGCGTTAGAGTTCATTATCAGCGCGTGAGCCTTGTGGAAACGCACCGGGAAACGTTGAATTAAAAGAAATTATCGTGATTGACATCACACAACCCAATTAACGATGCTCGTGTCTAACTGTTCAATTCCGTGATCCACGAGGTTATTCGAGACGTTTTTTTTTCTTTTTTTTTTTTGGGACGTACTTATTTTCGATAATATCGTTTATGACTATTGCATCGATAAGCACGATTTGACGATAACTAAACTGAAATCAGACGTTCACACATTCTGGCATGTCAAGGCAGGAGTTATTTCAGAAACGCGCGTGAGATGATTACGCTGAGGATTATATCATACGAGGTTATGTATTTTTTTTTTTTTGCTTTCTTACACGAGTACCAGGCGTATTTTTAGACTTCCAGATTTTTCGTACTGTATTTTTTTCCTCGTCTCTGTATTGCTGCTGTCGAATAGGGAGGATTAATAATTGTTTGCGGACCGGCGCAGAAATCTGCAGATAGCGGTAAATGCTGGCTAAACCTTGGACAGCAAACATCGATTCGTGACCGCGTTTTGCGATGTGAATAAGAAATTAGGTCAAGGTGGAATCATGATGGAAAGGTAAAACGGAATATTCGGCGAGGGCCTTTAAACTTTGTTTTGTTCCTTGTTCAATTCGATTCTTCAATATTCCAAAAGTGATGTTAAACACGCCCATGCGAATCATATCTTCTGCGTTCGCGACGCATACGAAACGTTTCGGAACCGTGGTAATATTTTAATACTGAATTTGCGTTTGTTTTTTTTTTTTAATCTGATTGAAGTAAAATAAAATCAATATATGCAAGATTGAAATGTATTTATAGCATTCAGAATAATTTACAAAAATTCAGTTTTTGTCACTCGTCGCGATAAACATTCACTATGATGTTTATTAATGGTAATTAAATCTTCGATAACTATTTCTTCGAGCTACTCACAATACAACAGAAAAAAAAGGGAAAAAATCTTACGATATACAATGTTAGACATTTCGAAATCTTAATTTTTTTCTAGCTTGAATTTTTAGTTCAATCATAAGTTTTGCAAACGAGAAAAAGATTATTTATTTGATTATATTATACTAATGACGTTCCCGTTTAACTTTACAAACTAATAACTTCAGACAGTCACGTAATTTCTTCACTGAACAAAAACATTGCCTTTTCCTATTGAGAGTATATTGTCTTTTGCATTTTTATTTACATATTCTATAATAACTTCGTGACTAATTGTCCTAGTTCGTTTCAACAATTATTTCCTCCAGTTGCTGATTATAGGAGAGAAAAAAGCTCTGTAAAAGTTGCGAGAGTAATGAGACCAATTTTTTCAATGTAGAACCTCTCATTATGAAATGGTCCAATAAATGAACAGAATATCGAAACTATTGAACTGAAAATTTCATCTAAAAAGAGACATTTTCCTTATTGGTGAATACATCCTTTGTTAGGTATCCCCTCGATTAGCAGTATTTTTACGTAAGAGTGGTAGTGTGTGATCATACATCGTACTACGACCGGGAACATCTTTACTGTACAATATATACTGTTGGATGCGAATTGCCAGTGACCTTGGCCTTTCTATTATATTTGTCATTCATCTTATGAGCTCACAACACGTTACAATTGTCCGTATAAATATTGAGGCTCTCGCAATTATATACGATTAATCATTCATCGCCTAATGAAAATGGCAACACGAAAGTCCCGTTCTCAATTATAACACGAAAGTTTGACCTTTACGTAATAGCCTGATCCAAACATAATTTCGTTTGCAAATATACAATCACCGACCGACAGATGGCTATAGAAAGCACTCATCTGAACAGTATTTCACACAGGTTTCATTTTAAAATAGTCACTGGCCACGATATATTTGAAAGTGGCTTTGTTCCATCGACAATGCTTCATGTTAGGTGCTATATTTTTGGATTACATTGTATGCTCTTTTTTGGTTAGTGTGTTGTATTTATGAATGCAAGTGTCCCCCTAGAATGTTATTAAATATATACATATGCATGTACGTTGTGCCTGGATGATAGCCAGACTTTCAAGTGGTCGTGGACTAAAAATAAAAGGATCTCACGTGTTCTATAATTTAGCCCGCGCTACATAATGTACACGTGATAAGAGAAAATTCAATGCAAGAACGTGTCCTTTGATGATACTCAATGTCATAAAAAGTACATTTCGTCGGGACATATGAAGTTCAAAGTACTATACAGAATTTCGTAACCCGATACCCAAGATGTTTAAAGCATCAACCTTGCATAAGATTCAAGAACAATATCGTACTTCGAGCTTTAAGAATGGAACAGGTATTTGTTAATAGTAACATTCTGACCTTAAACTTTTGCAAACTGCAATACTTCACTCAGTGAGCGATAAGAGTGCAATTCCCTAGATACTACTCTGTATGACTGATTACTATATTACGACTTGTCGTAAACGTAAAAATGAAAATAGATAGAATCGTTTATCAGGTTGTGAAACCAAAATAAAGCGAGAATGTACTGTGCATTACGGTTTGATGCCAAGAATTTATTGTTTCGAGCACAGGTAACATCATACTTAACTGTAACACAAGATGGATATCAGGTTGAAGCCGCAATGGTGTAACGAAATACTAATTGAACAGATTGACAATGACTTTTATTTCCGCTGAGCGTATCGTTACAAATCAGATCGAATCTTAACCTATGCTGATCCAGTTCCGATAAGATCGAATTAGTGCTTTATAAAAAAATCTTAAATCGATCTTTCCATTTCTATGAATAGTGTTGACATGCAATGCGGACGTATTTAACTGTTATTTTACTATCTTGGTAAAGTTCAGAACTTTTCATTGTTATATAGACAAATGTTATTGATGAAATTAAACTTAACCCTTAACTACAAACCACTTATCTCAGAGACAAATTTGAATTTTTATTTCACTATCACAGCCATGTGGAGAATTTGGGAAGCTCTAGAGTTTAAGTACCTTCAATTGACAATAGGTGGCAGATTATTTCCGTGAAAAAGAAAAAAATTTCTAATTTTTTATATAACATTATAAACATATTATTTTTATAAAATATTATAAAAAAACTTTAACAAACAAGAATATGTCAATAAATAAAATAGTTATATTAAGTGTATTTTTATAACATAGCGATTTAATAAATCAAATTGCCAAGCAGCTGACAGACGACGTCTGTGATGACGTCATAAAGATAAATGTCTGCAGTTAAGGGTTACATAAAAAAATTAGAAATGATAATAAATACAGTGTTTACTTATTATAATTAAAACGCTTATTATAGTAAGCTAAACGAAGTACAGTCCAGGATCAGAATGATTTCGAGATTAAAGGTTAACTTTCACCATGGATCACGTGTTTCCGATGCATTTAAGCTTGCTAATGAGTTTCTCATGCTTCGTAAACTAACCTAAGAATGAGTCAGAAGACATTTCGTTTTCGGAAATACTTTACAATACACACGTACGAGTGAAGGTAAATTACGTAATTGACGCGAAAGGCGACGAGAAAGGAAATGTGAACTCGTAAATAATAGTACGATATCGGTTTTTGCAGGAGCTTTTTATTATGGGTGATAATTAGTCGACTACGAACAAAGTTCAATACGCGATTTCTCGCCAGTGTGGAATGTGATTCTGTGGTATC